ATGTTCAACCGCCAGAATCACCGTTGGATTGCATGTCATGGCAAATTGCTCTTGTCTTGTTCCACTGTATATGGTTTGGGACCTGATGGCACAACTTGCAATGCCAACACTGCTACGGCAAGCAGCGACGGCCGGCAGCTAGAACCCAGAGGTGGTGGTCTCGTTGATACTTATCATGGCACTGCCGGCAACCTTGCGGATCTCCGGACCACCCGCTGCACGCCCCCACGGCCTGCTCCGGCTCCACGCCAGCGGCTGGCTGCGAGAGACGGCCGCCGGCCGGCGGCTCCACCTCCACACTCCACAGAGAGGCGGACGCGGCACGCGGCGGGGGAAACGCCGGCGCCGGTGTGGCGGCTACGGGCCTGTAATGGGCTCTGCTGAGGAAGGCCCAGTAATGGGCCTCGGGCCGCAACCGACACGTGAGGATGGTAAATTACGAGCCCAAACAGCCCAATGAACCAAACACACGGCACCTAAACCGTGTCTAAGCTTCATCATATTTGTTTTTTTTATTACTCCCACCTGGACAGTTTTGAGCCACCAGAGCCAGAGGAAGGGTATAATAGGAGACCTACGGCCTCGTTCCAACTCATACCTTTCTCGGCCTTTTGGCTAAGATCAAGTGTAAAGTGTAGTATCTGTTCTTATTAGTTTAATATCTGATACGTGAACCATGTGTCCACCTTGATATTAAATTTATTTTTTAACGGTGGAGGGCTCACAATAGTGGCTTGCCACTAGAGCCCTCCAGTGTCGCTCAGGCGTTGCACCACTGCTAGAGCTGGCACACCCCAACCAAGTCACAATAAAAATTTTGTGCTTAGACAAGGAAGTAGCCTCAAGCCTGCATTTGGATGGGTTTTGTGAGGTTTCACTAATCAGCATTGGTATCTACAGCATCTGCACAGGCATTTTGTGAGGTTTCACTAGTCACAACTTAATGCCATTGTGCAATCACTACGCTGCGATGATTTTTTTTTCAAAGTTTGGCATGCACACATTGGAAAAAGTAGTCAACTTCATCTTCATAGAACACGGTCAAAAGAAATTCTAGTCCTACAGAGACTTCCTGCTGCTGTGCTGCATGAGTGAAGTTTCTGTGGTGTGATTTTTTTTAAAAAAATATAAGTCTTTTGTGGTGCTTGGTTGTATGTTTGTGCAATATAGTTGCGTAGCAGTAGTATAGTCATCATGACTATCGTATCTTGATTTGCAGCTTGGTAACAAAAACAATCACCTGTGATATGTTCTCATGATGGCACTCTGCATAAATGTTCTTTTTTTTAGTGGACTGCATGAATGCTAGGTTTTTTTTTTTTTTTGAGCAACGCGTGAATGCTAGTTGCTTTGCTACGGCAGAAAGGAGAGTAATGTGCTAGGGGCTAGTAATGGGCTCTGCGGAAGAAGGCCCAGTAATGATGTGGGGTGGTAATTACAAGCCAAACGATCCAATAAACCAAACACGTAGCAGCTAAGCCATGCTTAAGTTTCTGTTTAGTCCCGCCTGGGGTAGCTTTGAGCGAGCACAGCTGAAGTAAAGGGTATAAAAGGAGAGCTACTGCCTCTTTGCAACTCATACCTTTCTCGGCCTTTTGGCTTCTCTTGGCTAAGATAAAGTGTAGTATCTGTTCTTATCAATTTAATATCTGATATACAGATCATGTGTCCACCTTGATATTAAATTTATTTTTTGTGGGAGAGGGCTCACCGTGGCTTGCCACTAGAGCCTTTGAGTGTGGCTCAGGCGTTGCATTATTGCTCGAGCTGGCGCACCCCAACCAAATTGCAAATAAAATTTGGTTGATTTTTGTGCGGCTACATTTGGATCGGCTTTGTGCTTGAGCCCTAGTCAGATCACAGCAAAATATTAGTTGGGCCTGTGACATGAAAACCACGCTAAGCTGTTGTATGGGCTTTGTACCTGAAAAAAAAAGTGTTGGGCCTAAGACATGTCCTACATTTTGGATATTTAGATTAGAGGTCACGTACACTACTAAATTGTTGAAACCTCACTAACTCACTAGTCTGCACATTTTGTAGAGCACTGACTGAATTTTTTGCTGCTTATGTGCCAGCCTGCCAGGGCAATGTCCAACAATGGAACTCTTTCAGCTACTGTTAAAGATAGTATTCTCCTTTTTTTTTGTCTTTTGATTAGGATTAACGGGGAAGGCATATACCTTTCAGTTATGTGCCAGGGCAATGTCCACCTGAATTCATTGAAAGGGCTTCTTGAAAGCCAAAGCATAGTTATATGGGGTTTGATTGGTTGGCTACCAAGTCGCAAAAAAAAAAAAAAATGATTGGTTGGCTACTAAATTTTGCCCAACCAAAATCATGGCAAGGCAAAACTTAGGTTTGCCAAAGTTAGAGCAAAAAACATAAGTGTGCATCTGGTTGACTGCCATAACAATAATAGGTAGCGTCATATCAATAATAGGAAGCAATTTTTCTCTTTTATGCAGTTTAAGAACTTTCTAGAAACTTGACAAAACTTTGGCCATAAACATTGATGTGCCAATTATTTGGCAATGAACCAATTGATGACTAAAATTTTTGGCATGTCATAATTTTGGTTGGGCAAGAATTGAAAACCAACCAATTAGGCCCAAGATCTTTGAGCAGTTTAGATAAAAAAAAAGGCTAATACAAAGATGAGAGATATGCTACATTGTGTTAACTGCATTGCACCTTGCCCTGGTAGCATCACGTTCTTCTAGTAGGGACTATATATTAGCTGTATTTGGTGTCCACAGCATCAGCACAAAGCACGGCATGCATTGACTTATATAGACTATAAAATGGTAGTATATCTATAGACCGGACTACTATCTTCCTTTGTTTACAGCTTTGACGGTGTTGTTGGATGGTTTTGCAGCCAGTCAGGCGTTTCTAGGGAACAATTAAGCACGAGCTCGTATGTAACGTAAGAGCAGAGCAGGCGTAGCGTGCAAGCATCGGAGCGCATCTCTAGAACGACAGCTCATGCATGCCCTTGCTTCATTTTTTGAGATTGGCTAGCTGCAGCAGAGTGGAGGTACATATCGATAGTCGGCCTGTTCGGTTGGCTGGATCATATCGTTGCTGGTTCGTTTATGTGAGAGAGAAGTACCGCTGACTGATTCGCGTGAATAGTAGCCATGTAAGGGGGCTGGCCAGCCAGCCCAGCTAGCCCCAGCCCAGCGATCAGGCTGGGTGGAGGCAGGCTACTACACAAATTAGAAACCAATAAACAGAGTGTATTTGCAAGCCATCGCGTATCAGTGTGTGTCTAGCCCTGCTCAACACAGAACGGAGCTCTAGAGAAGATATAGATGCCCAAACGGGCCGCCTGACCCGGGCACGGTGAAAGCACGGGCCGATGAGACTGGGCCAGGCACGACACGTTGGGCCATCGGGCCGTGGCAAAGAGGGCTCCATGCCTGGTCGTCAGCCTAGGCAGGCCTGTCGGCCCGATTTTGAGCAGGGCTGGTCCAATAAGCACGACCTATTGATTAGCTCAGGAAACCAAGGCGTGTCTCCACTAGGGTTTGAAATTTCGGTAGCGACCGAAATAAAATTTCAAAATTTCGTATTACACTAATACGTGTGCTATACAACTATAGACTTATATTTTCTATTGTTTATGTTGCATATTCTTCCATGTATAGTCATAAATCATGCTAGTATTTTATTTCTATAGATCTAAAAAAATTAGAAAAATATACTTTATGTTTAAATCTCAAAAAAAAATTGACCGAAATTCTTGAAATTCGGTGGTGACTGAAATCTAAAACCAAAATTGAAAACCCTGGTCTTCGACGCCGCCGTTTCCATGGCCACGTGGGAGAGCTGCCGTGCCACGGCAAGTGCAAGGGAGGGAGGGCCGCGTCGGCGTCCACATCCATGGCGCCGCCGCGAGGGGAAGGAGCGAAGGCCTTGTCGGGGACGAGCCATGGCCACATTTGATTTGCAGTTCTATGAACTTATGAATCATATATTATCCAACAAGTATAACTCTTTGCATTTTTAGAATGATGATTACGAGTAAAATTAGAGAAAAAAAATATGATACCTAGTGTAGACCGGTAGCGGAATACTCTCTTCCAAATGAAAAAAATGGAGTTGGTTCTGGAACTATGTTTACAAGTATAACGGGTACCCCTCTCCTCCCAACTAAGGCCTTGTTTGGACGTTCTATCCACCTCAATCCCCTCTCCTCCCAACTACTAGCAAGCGTCATGTTCATTTGTGTTGGTTTGGCTTATAATCTATGGTTGAAAGAACCGTTGGCTGGTTCGGTGTGAGAGAAAAATACTGTTCATTGGCTGATAAGTCATGGCTTATAAGCCAGATACGAGCAAGCGAATAGGCTGAAGGTCTAAAAAATTGGAATTTTTTTATTTTATTTATTATACCTTGGGTTAGTTGGATTGGATCCCAGATCAAGCAGCTACTACGCTGTTCGTTTCACCACCAAACCCACTATTAAAATTTAAACCAAAGATGATTGAATTGGAGCCCAAACCAATAGCCAATAAACAGCCACATGTAACACACTCTTAAGAAAGAAGAAAATTAGGTGGGCACATGTATGGAAACAAAATAAAAAGATCTATCTCTTGTTGAGTAGTGAGAAAGGAAGCAAGCAAGAAAGAAATTAGCAGGTGGGTGGGCAGTCCAGGTTGCAGTCCCAGATCGTCAAAGCCGGGAGCTGTTGCCTTGCCTACCCTCCATCACCAAACACCACCAGGCTACCACCTCGAATCCATCCTCGATCCATCCAGTAAGCTCCAGCACACCATCAAAATTAATCGCACTCCCTCCCCCTTCCCACCAGCTTCTTCCTTCCTTTTCCTGCCCACATACAAATGCTTGGGCATTAGCGATCCCATCTTGCTCTTCCTCCGCGCGGTCTCGGTCTCGCTCCCCTTCCTCTTCCTCTGGGTGCGCCCCCTGCTCCAGTCCTCCGGTGCTGAGCTGTGCGGCCGCAACCCGCAGCGCAGGGCCCGCCCGCCATGACGTCCACGGCGTACTCGCGGTCGTCCAAGCTGCCGGGCGGCGGCCCCGAGCGGCGGCTGCCCCCGCGCCTCATGCGGAGCCTCACGTCCAAGATCGAGCCCAAGAAGCTGGGCGTCGGCCTCGTCGCCGGCTGCTGCCTCGCGCTCCTCACCTACGTCTCCCTCGCCAAGCTCTTCGCAATCTACTCCCCCGTCTTCGGTGCGTGCGCGTTTCACTAGCTTCGATTCGATTCCTCTGTTCCCCCTCCCCTCCTCCTCACGAATCTAACCGGAGCTTCCTTCCTCCTCTCTTCTCAGCCAGCACGGCCAACACGTCCGCGCTGATGCAGAACGCGCCGCCGACCTCGTCCAAGCCGTCCGTGCTGGAGACCGAGACCATCCCGCCGCAAGAGACGCTCGGCAGCGGCGGCGGCGGCGGCGACAGCGCGGATCCCGTCGATCCGAGTGAGGTACCGGCGGGCTCCGAGGAGCCCGGCTTGCCAGAAGCTGCCGTCACGAGGAAGGACATGGCGGGGTCCGACGAGCCCGGCTTGCCCACCAGGAAGGACGACGGCGACAATGCGGCGGCCGAGCCCACCAACAAACCAAGTATGCTATTCTCTCTTCTCTTTTTTTTTTCCTTCGATTGAAAAAAAAGGAAATCTATTTTCTTTCTCGCACAACTTTAAATGGAAAGAAAGAAAGCAGAGCCAGCCAACGAACCAGAAATTTGATAAAGTTCTGTACTTGACCAAAATCTTGTTGGCGATACAAAATTTGGGCGTTGGAAATTAATACCAGGTTTTGGTACGATACGAGTAGATGGAGACGTAGATCTAACGCGTTCTCTCCTTCAATGGTGTTCAATTACTAGCTGCTGCTGCTGCTGAGGATAAGAAAGAAGGGGACGATGGCAATGGCGGCCAAGGCAAGATGACGTGCGACGAGAACGGCGTGGACGAGGGGTTCCCGTACGCGCGGCCGACCGTGTGCGAGCTATCCGGCGACGTCCGCGTGAGCCCGAAGCAGAAGACGGTGTACCTGGTGAACCCGTCCGGCGCCGGCGGGTTCGACGAGAGCGGCGACAAGCGGCTCCGCCCCTACGCCCGCAAGGACGACTTTTTAATGCCCGGCGTGACGGAGGTGACGGTGAAGTCGGTCCTCTCCGCCGCGGTGGCGCCCAAGTGCACGAAGCACCACGCCGTGCCGGCGGTGGTGTTCTCGATCGCCGGGTACACGGACAACTTCTTCCACGACATGGTGGACGCGATGGTCCCGTTGTTCCTGACGACGGCGCATCTCAAGGGCGAGGTGCAGCTGCTCATCACCAACTACAAGCCGTGGTGGGTGCAGAAGTACACGCCGCTGCTGCGGAAGATGTCGCTCCACGACGTGATCAACTTCGACGCCGAGGACGCCGACGACGTGCACTGCTTCCCGGCGGGCGCGTTCGTGGGGCTGTACCGCGACCGGGACCTGATCCTGTCGCCGCACCCGACCCGGAACCCGCGCAACCTGACGATGGTGGACTTCAGCCGGTTCATGCGCGGCGCGCTGGCGCTGCCACGCGACCGGCCCGCGGTGCTCGGCGAGGCGCCCGGCATGCGTCCCCGGATGCTGATCATCTCGCGCGCGGGGACGCGGCGGCTGCTGAACCTGGACGAGGTGGCGGCGGCGGCGGACAAGCTGGGGTTCAACGTGACATCGGCGGAGGCCGGCGCGGACGTGCCGGCGTTCGCGGCTCAGGTGAACGCGGCGGATGTGCTGGTGGGCGTGCACGGGGCCGGGCTGGCGAACGTGGTGTTCCTGCCGACGGAGGCGGTGGTGGTGCAGATCGTGCCGTGGGGCAAGATGGACTGGATGGCCACCAACTTCTACGCGCGGCCGGCCGCCGGGATGGGGCTCCGGTACCTGGAGTACTACGTCGGGGAGGAGGAGACGAGCCTGAAGGACAAGTACCCGAGGGAGCACGCGGTGTTCAGGGACCCCATGTCGCTCCACACGCAGGGGTGGCAGGCGCTCGCTCAGACCATCATGAAGCAGGACGTCGCCGTCAACCTCACCAGGTTCCGGCCGGTCCTGCTGCAGGCGCTCGACAAGCTGCAGCAGTGACTGGCCCTGATTCCTGTTGCTATTGGGCTGTTCCTGTTCCTCTTCTTCCTAGGAATGATCGAATGAATGAATTCGCCATTGCCGACCGCCAGGATCAGCTAGGAGGCTTGCTGCTGCTGCTGCTGCTGCTCCTACCAAGTACAGTACTATTGCTAGTAAAACGAGAGGAAATCAGGCAGGCTTCAACTTTCAATCAAATTGGTAATTTGGTTGGTCTTTGGCCGGTTTGTCTTTTTTGGTTTGTAACTGTAGTAGTAACAAGAGAACAGCTTGGATAGTGCGCTGCATACACTACACACGAACAAGGATTATGTTCATTCACTTGAGTTCATTATTTATTCTTCTACTGAACACTCATCTTTTCTTGACATACATGGAATGTGATCATGTTGTCAATAAGTTAACCGAAAAGCCTTACGACCAACCGCTCGTTCGCTGGGCTGGGGCTGGCTGGGCTGGCTGGCCAGCCCCCTCCCATGGCTACCACTCTCTCACGTAAACGAACTAGTAACGATACGAACCAGCCAACCGAACAAGCCGCAAATCTTGCTAGGCATTTTGCTCCCATTTCTGAATTGAGGATCTCCAGCATGGAGTAGAGTTGTTGGAGCATGTGCTACAGCTGTGCATTATTCCATCTGCCCGTGGCCTGTGCTGTGCAATGTGCATCTGCATCCGAGCCGAGACTGCTTTGCGCCTTTGACTCCAAAGTCCAATGTCCATAGTAGTATTAGGCACTGTTTAGTTCCAACCCAAAAACCAAAAATTTTCAAGATTCCCTGTCAAATCGAATCTTGCGGCACATGCATGGAGTACTAAATGTAGACGAAAAAAAAAACTAATTGCACAGTTCGCCGAGAAACCGCGAGACGAATCTTTTAAGCCTAAATAGTCCATAATTGGACAATTTTTGCCAAATAACAACGAAAGTGCTACAGTAGCCAAAAGCCAAAAATTTTCGGAACTAAACGCGCCATTAGTATTTAGGAGTACTCCATTTATAGTATATATAGTAATATAAATCCGGCATGCATCAGCAAAAGGAATTGGAGCAGCAAAGAGCCTGCGTTTTTTTTTGACATCCATCACTATACAGAGTAAGTACTCCTCCGACTGGCAGTAACCAAAAGGTTGACCACTGTTAGTCTGTTACAGTAACCATCCGTGTTTACCTTGTCCAACCGAGATCATGAGACAGATAGGCACTCACTACTGATTGAGAAATGAGAATGAATGGATGAATTCCTGGAGGAGAAGCAGGCAAGCAGCAGCAGCTTCCGGGCGGTACTGTCGGAGATCCCTCCCCTACCCGGATGTTGACGTGACGGGTCCCGGGTCGGTCCGGTCAATTGCGCGTTGGTCCGTGAACATGGCTCCAAATGCAAGTGCAACTCAGATTTCAGGGACGTGTTGTCCAAAGCTGCCTGCCCCCACTGGGCGGTGGCTACTAGCAGCCAGTGATGATAAACGGGAGAAGCCAAAGGGGACAGGACAGCTAACCGGACGCACGGACGGATGCGTGCGCAAGAAAGAAAGCTGCGTCGGAAAGCAAGCTAGAAGGGTGGGTGGCCGTGGAGCTAGCAACTGTTAAATTAAGACCTCTACTTTTGATTTAAATGTTTTTCTTACCTTTTAAGAGTATATTTTTTTATCTACTCTCGTAGCCCTCAAATTCATTTCAACCGACACGGACAAAGGGACCCACTCGTCATTCTGTATTCTTCTCTCGCTCATCCTCACTCTCACCGACTGACAGCCTGTTCGTTTGACTGTGGTTTGTCGTAAATGATCGTAAATTTTCAGCTGAAATAGTATTTTTCTCTCGCACAAACCAGCCAGTAATACTTCTTCACGAATCAGCAACGAAACGAATCAACCACCCGAACGAGCTGTGAGCGGAGGAGAGTACGAGACCGTCTCTGCCCACTCGCGAGGAAGCCGAAAGGAAATAGGGCGAAGGCAGATCGAGGGGAGGATGCCCACGCCGACAGAGTCGCATTGGGTGGCGACGCGTTGGGCTTGGACAACGACAGTTCAGTCAGGGGCGGGAGTTAAACCGCTAAAAATAAAAGTTAGGAAACCTCCTCCATGGTCCCTAGAAATGAGGTCCTGGGAGGAGAACTTGACATTCTTTTACTTTTAGGGGCTTGAGTTGAGTAGAAGCCTGGTGAATCTTTGTTTTTCAGGTAAGCCTTTAGATTGTTTTTTTAAGGACATGTTAAGGGCCCTGTTCAGAATTGAATTGCTCTGACCGCACCGCACCTCACCTCACCTCACCTGTAAAACAAGTCTCTTCTCTCTGTTTTTTTTTCTTTCCCTTCTTCTTGGGGGCTACGGGAGCATTCGCTAGTCTTCTTCTCGTGTGCTTTTGCACGTGCGCACACAAGGCACGTACCGTGCGTGCGTGCATGATTTGCACGTCGGTCTCGTTGCAGACGCGCGCAGAGGCATTCCGTGCGACGCATGCCATACATATCCATCCATACCCCGCTGCCGTGCTGCCGCCAACCATGACATATCCATCCATACGACGCTTCTCTTCCTTCCTTTCCTTCACACGCACGCACTCATGACATGTGACGCACTGCGTTGTGACCCAGCAACAACCTCATGTTACCATAACATCACCCTCATCATCGCATCATGCATGGGCCTGGGATACGCATGGGCATGCATGGGTTCAGTTACCACTTACCACCAAGCACGAAGCAACACAGGATGCAACTATGATATGCGCGCCAGTGAGAGTGTTTCACGTTTGACCAAGTTTCTAGTAAATAATATTCATATTTATGACTCTAAATCAATTTATTATGATAATACATTTCATAATTAACCAATGATATTTATTTGATATTATAAATATTTATATTTTTTTATCTATAATTAGTTAAACTTGGCATACTAAAACATGATACTGTTCCAGAGTTACATTCTTTTGGAGACGGAGGAAGTAAAATTTATATCTCCAAATAAATTTATTATAAGATGATTAATGTACTGACATTTATAAAGCATCATAAATATTAATATTTTTATTACATATTTAGTTAAAGCAAAATAAAATTAACTCCTCAAAAAACGATACATGTAGGGGTTTGTTTTTTACCGAGGAGGCTAGGAAGCATGTAGTACATGTGGCCCCTTAGTGGCCAGCTTCCAACCCCATCAAAAATCGGTTTTTCCCTTTTGCTTCCTTCGTCATCATCGTAGCTTTATAATTGAACACTACAATACTTGTGTTGGTGTTTTAAGGAATAATAACAATATATATGATGGCGATGTCGCTCCATGTCCACATGTTCCTGCAGGTTTGTTCCTTTGCAATACACAAACGCATGGTCCCTCCCGTCATTTTCAGTCCTGTTCCTTCCAAGGAGAAAGATTGTGCATACATGCGGTCCACTCATGAATTATCTATCACAAAATTAAAAAAAAAACTGACAGAGAAGGAAAAGAACATTTTAGTGCAAGCGTTTGGAAGCAAGGTTCTTCTTGTATATATATATGCTTCTTCTGATCCTCTCTATTATTGAATGAAGGAAAACAAGGGAGGGAGATGTGCAGTGCAGGTGACAGAGAAATGGAGCAAGGGATGGCCGACCTGACAAACATTCTTGCTCAAGCCAAGACGTCGTTCATTCATTCACATATAGATATAGACATGTACGGCCCTGTTCGCTTCTCTTATAATCCGTACTTTTCAGTTTGTTTTTTCAGCCAAAACAGTATTTTTCTCTCACAACAAATCAGTAAAAACAGTGTTTTGACTTATTTTTTCAGCGAAGCGAACGGGGCCATAGTGCATTTTAGCAATGCAACCACTGCAGGTGCAGGGCAGGCCGGTCCTGTAAAGCAACCTAACAACTTCTTTGCTTCGAATTCCAACTTACGTGCTGTCTCTCTGTGCAAAAGGCATCAAGTGATCAACCTGCCTCACATTTTATATATATACGCATGCACAGTAACTATTTGTTGGCTTATCTTTAGTGCTTATTAGTTACTTGACGGCTGCGGAAGCAAAATGAGCACTATAAAAGTTTAATACATACTACTCTCTCTATTTCACATTGTTTAGTCGTTCTGACTTTTTAAGATATATAGTTTTAACTATATATATATCTAAATATAACGGATATCTAGATATACAGTAAAATCTATGTACCTAAAAACACCCGACCGACTTACAATTTAGAGCGGGGGAGTATATGAGCAACGCCATAGCATACTAATACGTTAGTGACGTGGCCAGAGCAAAAACCATTTCTGGCTACTGATTTAATTAAAATAGTATTTCACACACTGTACCATGAATTAACTATATATGTTAATTTCTAGATGGGCCCTGTTTGGATGGTATTAAAGCCGGCTGAAGCTGTTTTGTTATGAGAGAAAAGTTCTATAGATTCTAGCTGATAAACCAGCTGATAAGTTCAGCGAACATGAAGTAAAGCTTGTTCGTTCCGGTTTCGCTGTCTGGGAAATCTGAACAGCTCTCAACTTCAACCCCATGAAAAATCAAAAGGCACGCTTGCTTGCTTGTGTTCAGGTTAGGTGCAACAAAAAGCGACAACGTCGGTTGCTGTTTCTTTGTCGCCAATCCATACATCACACATGTCAGCCAGTTTGGTAGACCTAAAAATGTTAATGCATATATTTGACCTTGCTACGGTAGCTCAACACTGCTACTAGTCGTTGAAAACATAGTTCCTCAAACGTGGAAACAAATGGTAGCTAGCAGGCTTGCTGATGACAGGACAGGGGCAGGCTCCTCTTCTTTAAGGCTAGCTTCAGCGGATCATGGAGCTTCTGCACACACACACACAAAAAAAAAGAGGGGTTTCTAAAAACCAACTGTCTTTTTCTTCCTTATAAAACATGTTTGTAAAAAAGAATCGATAGAGTCTGGGCTTTTATAAGACGGAAGAAAAGACACAAGTCTTTTGTTTGTCACTCTTAACGTTGCACATACCTCCTATCGGGACAAAGAAAAACACGAG